GCCTGTCACTGAAGAAAGGGTCAAAGATGCCCAGTATATGTCTCAAAAAAAAAAAAAGAATGATAGACGCATTGGGCTCATTTAGGAAGAAGTAAGGCAGGGAAAAGAAACATGAGTACTCCTTAGTAGGTCCATTTTTAAGATTTAGGAGAGAAAAATAAGAAAATTTCTTAGTTTAAATCTTGTGTTTATTTCTACAAACACAAGATTTTCCTCACCAAGTAAAGTTATGAAGCGTAATTCCATGCTATTGGCAGTACCCGTTCGACCATGCGGCACCATGGCTTGAGTATTCAGGGATACATATTTCAGCACTAATGAAACAGAATCCATCCTAGATTTCCCTTTAGTGTGGTGAGAAAATAAACTTGGGAGGGGAGCTACTAAAACTTAAAATGGAAAAAAACCCCTCCCTATAATATATTTACTTCACTAGATTAAAAGGTCCTTTCCAGATCATTAAAGGTTTTCAATCCTAGAACCAAAAAAGAAAATGGTGGATGAAAGATGGAGACAGGCTGTATAATAGTGGCTAGGAACTACAGCGAATTGGCAGAATTTGTGTGTGTGTGTGTGTGTGTGTGTGTGTGTGTGTAGGCCAGAGGTCAAAACCCAATGTCTTTCTCAATTGCTTTCTACTTACTTTTTGAGTCAGGGTCTCTCAAAGAGCCTGGTTTTTCCAGTTCAGGTGGACTGGCTGACCTGTGAGCTATGGAGCTCCTCCTGACTCTGCCTTCCCAGCACTATACTTGCAGACATGCACTGCTGTGTCTGTCTGTTATGTGGGCAGTGGGGATCTGAAAACAGGTCCTCATGCTTGCAAAGCAAGTTTTTTTTTTTTTATCCAATAAGCCATCTTCTTGGCCCCAGAATGTTTTGCTCTCAGAGAATGGAGTAGGGAAATTCCAATCTCTTGCAGCCTTGCAGGTAGGCACTCCAGTTTAACTTATTAATTTCAGGATGTCTTTGAAATAGTGACAATACAATGTTAAGATTAGTAAGTTATTTCAGGCATATAAAAATAAAAAGTGAAGTTCTGTTGAGTCCTCATTCATTTGATTAAATAGTCTTGAAATTAAAGAACTACTAAGTCATTGCCTTGCAAAGCCCCTGTTTGAAACAAGGAAAAACTCATCATGATTGGTTATGTTGGTAGATGTTTCTCATCACATAATCCACTAGTATTTTTCAAATTATTACCCATACTCTAAAAAGAAAAACTTTGAATAAGACAATATAGTTGGGGGAAAATATGTTGAAGAAATGATCACTGACTTGTTGACAAATAATTTGTCCTACAAATGGAAATTTTACTCATCTTGTACATTTATTTCTTGGAACACTCCCAAATTTTCAGCATTCTAAAACCATATCCTCTATGGAATCTCCAATGAGAATACAAGAGAGTCACTGTGATTAATTGTAGATCCTGGAAATCCGACAATCAGTGTCTTAGGTCTAGGATTCTTAGAAGGAAATCAATATTTAATTAAACATTTTTCCCCAAAAGACAGGTTATCTGGACAAAATATAACAAGAGAAACATAAAAATCAAATGGAATCATATATTATACAAACTTAACATATCTACAGAATGTTTTACCCAATCACCAATGAACATGCATACATTCTACTCAGGAGCACAAAAAGCTTCTCTAAAATAGACCACATAATTAGACACATGTATCTTATCTGACTATAATGCAATAAAACTTAAAATTTACAACAAACAGATCTCTAATAAGTATACAGATTCATTAAGATTGAATAACTTGTTATGAAATAATGAATGAGTCAAGGAAGAAATAAAATCCTCAATAAAATTCTTGCAAAGCAAATACAGTCATACATCAAAAAGATTATCCACCATGACCAAGTTGGCTTTATCCCTGAAATGCAGGGATGGTTCAACATGCACAAGTCAATAAATGTAATAAACTACATACATGAACTTAAAGACAAAAATCATGTGATCAACTCAATAAATACAAAACAGTCCTTTGATAAAATCCAACATGCTTTCAAGATAAAAATCCTAGAGAGAGTAGGATTAAAGGGTACATGACTCAACATAATAAAAGCTATCTTAGAAACTTACAGCCAACATCATCCGAAAGGAAGAAAAACTTGAAATAATCTCACTGAAGATGTTAGGAATGAAACGGGATTACCACTATCCCCACTCCTTTTCAACTGAGTGTTTAAAGTCCCAGCTGGAGCAATAATGCAAGAGAAGGAAATTAAAGGGATAAAAATAAGAAAAGAAGTCAAACTATCCCTGTTTTCAGATGCTACGATATTATAAATAAGAAATACAACAAATTCTATCAGAAAACTTCTAGAAATAAACAAGTTCAGAGCATGGTAGGATGCAGAATCAACTTGTACAGATCAATAGTTTTTCTATACACCAAGAGCAAACGTACAGAGAAAACGGTCACGAACATACACTCATTCACAATAGACTCAAACCAAACAAAGTATAGAGGAACCAACCAAGGACATTTATAATGAAAACTAAATCCCAGAAGAAGGAGGAGGGGGAGGGGGAGGGGAGAGGGAGGAAGAGGAGGAGGAAAAGAAACTAGAAAATGGAAAGATATCCCATGTTTATGGATTGCTAGGGCTAAAAGCCACAGACTCAATGCAATCCAAATCAAAATCCTCATTTTATTCTTCACAGAAATAGAAAAAATCCTAAAATTTATATGGACCCACAAAAGACCTTAGATAGCCAAAACAATACTGAGCAAAAAGAACAATGCTGTGGGGACTAGGACTTCAAATCTCAAATTGTATGACAGAGCATTAAAAATATTTAATGCATGTCTCCCTTTTAAACTTGTGGTTATTACACAATAAGATACCACCCAAAGGAAGAAATTGTGTTACTTGTGACAACGCAAATAGAGCTGGAGAACATTGGGCTGTGTGAGACGAACCAAGCAAACACTGACAGACAGCGCCTGTTCCACTTTTACTTAGAACCAACATCACTAACTCATGAAACCAGATTGTTGGAGGCTAGGGCTGAGAATAAGGGATGGCCATCAAGCTGTCCAAAGCCTCATTTACAAAGCAGGAACAAGTTTAAGTGCCTCTGATTCTTTTTTAGATCTATCCCTACCCCACCACACTTGAGTTGGGAAACTGAGGCCTCTCCTTTCCAAGACTCACCACAGCCGTACTAGTTGCCTGACTGAGATTGTCCACTTGGCCTGTTCAGCCTTGAGACCCAGTACTAGTCCACACTGGCAGATGAAATTTGCTCCACGCTCCTTGACGAGCCTCTAAAGACACCAGTCTGTAGCTAACTAGCAAATAATCTGAGATAGAGGCTGTAGCCACCAATATCAGAAAAACAGAAAACGTCAACCCAGATATGAATACACATTCATGCACATTTTAAACAAGCCTGCTGAAAGAAAAAAGGCGACCTGAACAGAAAGAAGGAAAAAGTCAACCAACAAATTAACTCCAGGTTTGTAACTCCCAGTACAAACATAAAAACCACACATACACCGAGAGAGAAAGAGAGAGATGCTCCTGTTTCCTCCAAAAGAAAAAAAAATGCAAATTCCATAGTAATAGCTCTTACTGAAAACAACATAGAAGAACTCATAGAAAAAGAGCTCAAAATGATAACTACGGTCAAACAATTCATTGAAGACAAAGACAAAGAGATAAACAAAATTAAGAAGTTAATCCAAGACAGAAAAACAGAGTTTGAATGGGAAACACCTACAAGGGAGGGATGAGAGACTCTGTAGGAAGGAACAAAGCTAAGTCCACACCAAAGGCCAGTGGAGTCCCCAGACAATTGGTGTAGTTTGGGTGGAAGGGCACCAGCATGCTGGCTACATAGGACCAGGGCGGTGGGGATGAGACAGGTGAGACCATAACAGAGGCAGAAAGGATAATGAAATTTACCTACATGAGTCTCAGCCTGATGTGACCACTGGGAGTCCCAGGAAGAAGCTTTTTATTGTAATCTTTAACTTGGTTTGCAAGTATTTGTTTGAAATTTTTGCATCCGTGTTCATCATAGGCATTGGCCTATATTTTTCTCTTTTTGTTAGATCGTTATCTGGTTTTGGTATCAGGGTAACACTGGCCTCTTGAACAGAATTTGGAAATGGTGCTTCATTTTGTATTTAGTGGCATAATTTAAGGAGTGTTAGTGTTATTTCTTCTTTGAAAATGTAGAATTCTGGGCTGAATCCATCTTGGCCTTGGGCTTTATTAGTTGGGAGATTTTTAATTATTTCTTCCAGCTCATTGGATATCATAGGTCTACTTAAATTATTTTATCTTGATTTAGTTTTGGCAGGAGATACACTTGAACTCATTGTCACAGGAAAAGACTTTCTGAACAGAACTCTGGTAGTACAGACATTAAGACCAATCATTAATAAGTGGAGCTTCATGAAACTAAAAAGCTTCTCTATAACAAAGAATACCATAATTCAAGTGAAGAGTTAGCTTATAGAATGGTTTAAAAAAATCTTTGCCAGCTGTCCTGGTTAGTTTTATTGCCAACTTGACTCAACCAGGAAGAGGAATCTCAATTGAGAAAATTCCTCCATAAGATTAATATGGTTCTATAGGCAAGTCTGTCAGGAATTTTATTAATAATTGATACAGTAGGGCCCAGCTCATGATAGGTAGTGCCACTCCTGGCAGGGGGTCCTGAGTTGAATAAGAAAGGAGACTGAGAAAGCTGTGAGAGGAAGGCCAGTAAACAATGCTCCTCCATGGCTTCTACATCAGTTCCTGCCTCCAGGTTTCTGCCACTGAGTTCCTGCCTTGACTTTGCTCCATGATGGGTTATGATGTGGGAGTATAAAACAACAAAACCCTTTCCTCCCAAGTTGCTTTTGGTCATGGTGTTTTATACAGTAATGGAAATCTTAACTAAGACAGAAATTGGTATCAGGGGTGGGGTGTTTATGTGATATACTTGACCATGCTGTTTTTAGAAGGATTGAGGAACACAATGCATTACATATAGATTATTATATGTGAAATCACCTCACCTAATGATTCAGGAATCAACTATTTTTTCAACGTTTCCAGAAGAAATCATCTCACTGCAAAGAGAGAAAGACAATCACAAGAACACTACTATTTGCTCTGTCTCAGTCTCCAGAATAAAAAACGGGGATAGTTGTTCAACTTGACACTGTAACAGCTAAGCTGTTGCAGAGTTCTGTAACCGGTGTTTTAATTGGACAGCCTAAGCTCTGAGACTTACTCTGTAATGCCTGTTGACCAAAATATTTCATGAATTGCTCCTGGAATTGTTCACAAGAAATAATGAAACCTATCGCACTGAGTAATTTTTCTCTTTAGGATGCCAGAGTGAAATCCTGCAACATTTAATTAAATAGCAGTCTCTCTGGAGATAAATTTAGCAATGATAATTTGACCAGGAAAATCTTTTTCTGGTGTGATATGTTAGAAGAGACACAGGCACTAAGCACCCATTTGTCCTTTCCCTCCCCCAGGTGACAGTCTAGGAAGTTTATCTACCTTTTTTCGTGACTGCAGCATAAACTGAAGATAAGCTGTTCCCCTGTAGATAATCCTCCATTGTGATTTCTTTGGCCCTGGTCTCTCTGTTCCTCCAAGCTTTTGCTCTAAGAAGAAATTCTTCTTGCTCAGGGAAAGCTGGTCATAGATGACTCACACGTAGAAAGTGAGACTATGACTTGGCATCTTTTTCCTTTAAAATTATTCATTCTCAAAGAGGATAAATCATTAAAACATGCCCAAAATACCAAAAGCTTTATTTGAGCAAACATTTTTGAGATTCATGAGTGAATCAAAGTGGAAAATAATGAGAGTTTAAATCAAGAAAAAGAGATTAGAAAGTGCTAGAAGCCAGAGAAGAAATGAGAGAAATATCAACACAACTACCCACAAACAAATTTTTACTTATATAAAAGTTCCAGATTCAGTGGGATACTAATTCATATTGTTGACCAAAATGACACCTTCTCTACATGCTGCAGTGAAAAAAAAAATTAAACCATTTTGCCTTTGAACATGCTATATGTTTCCAGAAAGCAGCAATGTTCCCCTTTCAATCTTGGAACAAGATATCATTTTCAACCAAAACTCTGCCCAAGAGAATCACAAGAATACAAAAGAAAGTTTGCATGTCTGCTTTGGAGACACAATCCATCAGCCTTTGCTAATTTCCTTCTTACCTGTGTCCATACATCCGGGGAGCATTTCCTGACTTCCTCCTGCAAAACCATTGAGATGAGTGTATCAGCTGGCAGGACTCATTCAGTAGAAACAGGAAGCCGGGGTGTCAGGTCTCAGTCAGAGCCTGTGTCCCCATGTACCGCTGGAAATCTGTCACACAGGCATGAGCCCCCTTTCTGCAACAGCAGCTGACCTTTCTCCAAGTCCAAAGCCAAGACTTCCTTTTCCAAAGTCACTGAAAAGACAGGCTCAGAATAAAGTTTAGAAGCAGACTGGATGGGGGATTTTGTCTCTTGTTTCGAAGCTGAATTGCATTTTATTTTCTAGGTGTTTCATAACTCAGTCAATCACTTCTTTATCATTAATTTTAGCCCGTGTGTACAATTTAATGGGTTTTACTGCCATTTTTACGCACGTATATCATTGCCCCTTGCTTGTATTTGCCTCCCTCCCCCCACCACGAACACAGACTAACTTCCCTTGTCTCCACCTACTATCCTGTAACTCGTTTCCCTTTAAAGTCAACTTGTGTTTATAGAAGAAATAAGTGTTTCTTCAAGACTGAAAGTATATCTTAAAGATAGAAATATATCTTAGAATTGGAATAAAATTTAGAGTTTGAATTTGGATATAATAATTAAAGAGGTTTGTTTTTCATTTTTTTACTGAACTTTAATCCAAAATTTGCAGGGAATATGACTGTAACACTTTCTAACCCTTTAACTTACCACTTTTGGTAAAAACCTGAAAATATTTGTGATGTGATGTGGTGATATTTCATTTGTGCTGAAATGTAGTGATATTTTATTTGTACATTAATAAATAAAGTTTACCTGGAGATGGGGGGAAGAGGCCAACCATTTTAAGTAAACAAGAAGTCAGGCAGCACATGCCCTTAATCCCTTAGCAGGCAGGATCTCTGTGTGTTCAAGGCCACACTAGGAAACAGAGCCAAGTGTGGTGACACACGCCTTTAATCCTAGTACCAACCATAGAGACCTGGAGGTCTGTACAGACAGACAGACAGTGACAGAGCTGAATAGGAAAAGGAAGTGAGGTAGCTGGGCTAAGAGCCAATGAGAGGGTAGAAAAGCAAGTCATATAAGCCTGGGTAGACAGGAAGTCATGCTCTTGGAAGCTGTAGAGTTGGTGAGGTGAGGTTTAGCTGGTGGCTTTCCACATTTCCCTGATCTCTCTAAGGCTTTAGCCCAAATTTCTGGCTCCATGTTTTTTATTTAATAAGACCATTTAGAAATTCATCTACAATGTGACAAGTTGATATTTCTCATGTTTCACTTCTCGCTTTGCTAATGTCTCTCCAGCATTTTTAAATTCCCCTTTCTTTTGCTTCTTTATATCTGTCCTTTGTTTACAGAATATTTCATCATGTGACTTTTTAATTTCCTTTATCTTCTTGTAGATAGTCCATAGTAGGGTTATAGAGGAATAGCATTTTGTTCATTTCTTCCAAAGACATCAAAGAAAGAGAGACTTCTTGTCTTAGTTAAGGTTTCTATTGCTGTGAAGAGACACCGTGACCACAGCAACTCTTATAAAGTAAAATATTTAATTGGGTGGCTCATTTACAGTTTCAGATGTTCAGTCCATTATCATCATAGAGGGGAGCATGACAGTGTGCAGACAGACACGGTGCTGGAGTAGTAGCTGAGAGTCCTACATCTTACAGGCAACAGGAAATGGACTTAGTGTCCCACTGAGCTAAGCTTGAGCAAAAGAGACCACAAAGCCTGCCCCCACAGTGGCACACTTCCTCCAACAAGGCCACACCCACTCCAACAAGCCACACCTCCTAATAGTACCACTCCCAATGAGGTTATGGGGGCCAATCACATTCAAACCACCACAGTTCCTCTGTCAGTTGTGTCAATGCACTTAGTTCCAGCAAGTAACAAATGCCCTCACATATAATTGAGGTTCCATAGTACATGGCCTGAAAAAATGACTACCATTCCTTATATTGTTATGAGCCTTTATACTTTTCAACTTACTATTAAATAAATGAATTCCTCTGCTATATACATTTCATGAAGTAGAAACACCTTCATGTTGCTGACAAATTGTAGCTCTGAAATAATGTGCTATCTACATAAGCCTGAGAATGTGAGTTTGATCCCCAGGACCTATGTCAAAAAGCCAAACATATTAGTGCTTGCTTGTAATCCTAGCACTGAGAATGTAGAAACAGGGGGAACCCTGGGGTTCACTAGTCAGCCATTCTAGAATACTCAAAGCTCCAAGTCATTAAGAGATACTGTCTCAAAAAACAAGGTGCACAGTGCCTAAGGAACAACATATGAGGTTGACTGTGGCATACATAAGCACAAACACACACATGTGTACTGCACATACACAGTGCACATACATATACATACAAAAGAAACTGTAGCTTAGTAAAGCAAATGATGTTATAAAAAACATCAATAGTCATGCTACTCTTGGAGTCTAAAAATATGAATGTGCAAAGACCATATTAACCTCTAATGAACCTGTGAATTATTCTTTACCAAAAGGTTCAAGTAAATTATTATGAGCTATTCTTACCATTGTACATCATCTCCAGGTTGTAGATAAATAGATAGGTAGGTAGGTTAGGAGGGAGGGACAGACGGAGGGAGGGAAATAGATAGATAGATAGATAGATAGATAGATAGATAGACAGACAGACAGATAGATAGATAGATAGATAGATAGATAGATAGATAGATAGACTAGTTGATTTGATTATATCACATTTTCTAGACTATTGAGATATGTGTACAAATACTTCACACATCTTCACTGATGGATTTCCTCTAAACCCATTCCAAACACAATTACTGTTCCTTCTAAATTTTAAAACACAATTCAAAGATCAATGCTTTACTAAATATTTAAGCTAATAGATCCCTCTGTTCTGTATTAACATTCCTTTAGATGTTGGTTCATGACATAAAATACCTCTAAGACATTGCATGCTGACTGCACACATGCTCATATGCACACCTTCCTTTTTGCAATATTAATCATGATTCTCAGCCTTACCTTTTGGTAAGGCACTCCAGATGGCCCACTAGTTATGTTCAAATGAACTCCAAGATTCCCCCCCTTCTAATGCCAGCTGCCAGCAGGAGCTGTTTGTGGCAGCTGTTTCCCCTGTGGTCAACAGCAGCATCCACTGCTTGGGCTTAGGTCTCAACCCAGTCTTCAAGCTCTTCCTTAGCCTACCTGCACTTAGTCACAACTGTTCCCAATTATCTATTCAGAAAAAGGAAAAGGAAAAGCATTAATAATTGAAAATACCATCACCAAAGGATAAGTGTTTGAAATAACAGGAAATATGTAACTCAGTGTCACAGTCTTTGATAGAGGTAATGAGTTGTGAGAGATTTGGACTACCAAGATAAATTCTATTTTTTATTATTTTAATAAAGAACAAAGCTTACATCATTTTTTTCTAAGTGATTGGGAGTTCAGTGAAGATGAGAGATACAAAAAGAGAGAGAGACAGAAAGAGGGATAGAGGGACGGAGAAACAGAGGGGAGGGGGAGAAAGGCAGCTCACTTTTCTTCAAGAAACATAAATGGCAACTCCTGGCTAACTAAAAAAAATAAGTTTGTCCTCCTGTGCTATGTGCTTTGCTGTGGGATGTTCTCTATATGTGTTGCTCTGATTGATTGATAAATAAAACGCTGATTGGCCAGTAGCCAGGCAGGAAGTATAGGATAGGCGGGACAAAGAGAGAGGAGAATTCTGGGAAGTGGAAGCCTGAGGCAGGGAGACTGATGAGAAGCAACATGTAAAGATACTGGTAAGCCACAAGCCACGTGGCAACTTATAGATTAATAGAAATGGGTTAATTTAAGATATAAAAACAGCTAGCAAGAAGCCTGAGCCATTATGCCATACAATTTGTAAATAATATAAGTCTCTGTGTGTTTACTTGGGTCTGAGGGCCACAGGAGCGGGGCAGGAACAGGATAACAATAGCTACAGTGCTTAGTGCCTTTTGGTCCTGCCTCCACTCTGTGCCTCTCCTTACACAGTCCTCTCTCTCCCTCAAATCTCAGTGTCACCGCCTAAGTGCTTTCCCTAAGCCACCTGTTCCTACAATATTTGCCTTCATTGTGCCTTCATTCCATGTACGACCACATGTTGTTTTGATTTCTTCATATGTAAATGTTCTGTGAATTTATTAAGGTGTATAGAATGTAACAGGTTGCATCTAAAATACAATGCACATATTATAGTATGTTGCACAGTAACCATATTTAACTCAATATACTAAATACATTGTTGTGTACTTCGATTACTGTTTTGCAGAAGGTAATGCCACACCTACCATCTAAGAGGTTTCCAGTACCTGTGCCTGAATAAAGAAATGAATCAATAAATATAGAAAAAAGACAAAATTACATAAATTCTTGGTTAAAAATGCAAGCTTTAAGTCAGTTTCCTGGGCTCTAATCCCTTCTTTGACACTGATCAGCTGAATACACTTCAGAGGACAAATTTTCCTAAGCAATAATAATTGGATCCTATGATAGTTAAATTTACATGTCAACTTAGCTGGGCTATGCTGCCCTTTTTTTTTTTTTTTTTTTTTTTTTTTGGTCAAATGACAGCGTAGAGCTGACTGTAGAGATACACAAATTCCAGAACCTAGGAAACTGAGACAGGAGGGTTGCAATGAATGTGAGGCCTTCCTGTACACCACAGGGAGTAGCAGGGCAGCCTGGGCTATAGAATAAAATCCTGTGTGAGAGAGAGAGAACTCTTATCTGAATTTAAATTTTCAAGCCCTACAAATTTCAGACTTTCTATTGTCCACAAATTAAATAAACCGATACCTTAAAATAAATACCTCTAGATAGACAGATGGGAGATACAACATATAATATTTGACATTATGCAGTAGTTACATTGTAAAATACTAGAATATTTATAAATAGATAATCCTGTACGTAATACTGGTTCTGTTTCTCTGAAAATGCTAACCTGACCTGAGTTAGGGAGCCCTGTTTAGCCAATAGTCAGCCTCTTCCAGAAACAGAAAACTGGAGCCAGGCTCATGGCAACCACCATCATTCAAATTCCCACTTACAAGTGAAGACCTCATCTGCAAGTGTCCACCACGGCTGCTCCTCCCAGGACTCTTCATCAACATGATTCTGTTACTCACTTGACATCTCTACCATTCCCCAGCAGACAGAGAGTTAGTGTGCTGGCTACTCTTATGTCAACTCAACGAACAAATTAGAGTTATCTGAAAGGAGGGATCCTCAATTGGAAAAATACCTCCTAAGTTCCAGCTGTAAGGCATTTTCTTACCTAAGCGATTGATGGGATAGGGTCCAGCCCATTGTGGGTGGTGCCATCCCTGGGCTGGTGGTCCTGCCTTCCATAAGAAAGCAGGCTGAGCAAGCCATGAAGAGTAAGTAAGCAGCACCCCTCCATGGCCTCTGCATCAGCTCCTGCCTCCAGGTTCCTGCTTTATTTGAGTTCCTGTCCTGACTTCCTTCAATGATGAACAGCAATATGGAAGTGTAAGCCAAACAAATCCTTTTCTCCCCAACTTGCTTTGGGGACATGGTGTTTTGTTACAGCAGTAGAAACCCCAATGAAGACAGTGAGTTCTCATTTATTTGTCCATTCCCTGCCTGTGTCTTCTGCTTAGTCACGGTTCCTGCTTTTCATCTTCCTTTTCTCTGCTTCCTCCTGACTCTGCCAAAGACAACACTACTCTGTGACTTTCCCTTAAGCAATCTTTGAACTTCAGTACCTATGGTTTGTGTCTTTCTTATTACAATAGCTCACACTCTACTGTGAAAGATAATTGGGTTGGTAAAACTCATGATTTCGGGTCGAATGGCCCAGACCTTGGGCACACAGATCCAAAACAATGAGGTGCAATTTGGGATGGAAGTCACAGATACCAAGTTCAGTCACCTGAGTGTTTCCTCATGGGGGGGCAGAAAAGGTTTCCTCAGAAGGGTCTGTGAGTACGTGATGGCATGTCACATGGCTACAAAAAAAGAAAATAGTGCTATTTGCAGAAGAAAGAGAAGTCAGAAGCTGACGGCCAGCATAGGAACCCTGGGCACATCCCCATGGAGGAAGCAGTTGCAATCTTCAGAGGCAGTGGCAGCGTGGACTTCTTTGATCTCTACTTAGTCCCTTTGGGAATGACTTTGGAGCTCTTTGGTTACAACAGCAATGAGAATTGGAATGAAGATTCTGGCAGTAGCCATAGTGCTGATAAAAATGCAATTACATGGCATGGACAGCACTCATGGAGTCAGAATGAGTCCTGTTATTCTTACACTGTTAGAGAGCATGCAGAAACGCTAGTTAATGATTTCAGGTGGAGATGGTATTGATCAGGAGTAGTTCAAATTCTTGTGGGATATTCACCTGTCCCACAGAGTGGTTGAAGATTTAGCTCAGTGGCAGAGTACTTGCCGAGTAAGCACAAGGTTCTGGGTTCAGTCTTCAACTCTGGGAGGAAAAAAACACTATGTCACAGACTTTCTAACCCCCTTTAAATTCAGCTCTTTGATGTGATATGAAATTGCAGACAGACATAATCACAGTAGGGCCAAGGTGATCTGTCCTAGTTTGGGAAATATTGCCTAACTAAACCATGGCAACAGCATTTCTGAATACATAGACTTTATAGAGACTGAGATGCACCATCCAATGCAGTGGCCACTTCTCATCTGTATGTATGCATATATATATATGTGTGTGTGTGTGTGTGTGTGTGTGTAGATATATATATATATCTTTGAATATATATATATCAAAGAACTGTAAATTAACTTTTTTTTTCAGTTGCATTAGACACATTTCAATGGCCCAATAGCTATGGAAAATGCTATTCTATTTGACAGTGCACATGTAGAACATGTGCATCATCACAGAGAGTGATTGATAGATATAGACAACATTCGGTCCAACTTGTTGAACAGTGTCAATGTAGCATGCAAACTGTGCTATTGAGGGTGAAGGGTAAGGGACATGGTCTTACCAGAGTTATCCTCATGGAAATATGACCTTAGGATTTCTAGGAAGATACTTCTGGAAAGAGATGCCAGAAAAAGGATGTTTGAGTCCCTTTCCTCAAACATCTTTTGTTTTTAAAGAAAGGATCTCTAACCTAGCCTGACTCTGAATTCACTCTGTAGCTGAGATGACCTGGGACTTTTGATCACTCATTTCCACTGTGCACCACCACACTTGTGTAGTGCTGGGAATCAAATTCCTGGTTTTGTGCAGGCTAGGCAACCATTCTCACAACTGAGTGGCTTGCCCAGCCCAGACACTGAATTTTTGAAGAAGCTGTTTTACTTCCTATGAAATGAACACACTGGACGACATGTCCAGAGGACCAGAACACAGGAGCTCACCTTGCTGGGGCTAGGACACCACATCATGAGAAAGGTATGCCTGGATGTTGAGGTGCAAGTAAGATGCAAAATTCAACAATTCCTTATAAGATGACTGCTGAAAAAATTGGCGATTTTCTAGATAAATTCTACAGGTCCCTGAGAAAGAAATCATGTGGCTAAGAAAGTAATGGAAATGCAGATGGAAGAACCATGGATTCCATCCAGAGCTCAGAAATCCTTTCTTCAAAGGCAGCAATGTTATCAAGTAGTCTTGAGAATTTTTACCCTGGTGTTAGGGACTGTGGGAAGCTAGTGACTTAATCAGCACAAAGAAAAACAGTCTAGAACTGTTGTAGGAAGTGGAATAAGGAAGAACTCAACATCTAACAGTAGATGGGAGTATCCCCAAGCCAACAATCCCCTAGTTGACAGTTGCAAGGTATTCCAGAACCCTGTTGTGGCCAGAAAGGACAAGAGCTCATGCTGGAGGCATGCCTGAGCTCTGGCTCTCACTTGTCTTGTTTGGTCAACAATGTTAGGACTCACACTGTTTTCCTTTTTTAACCTTCTCATAGTGGGAAACACATGTAATTGTAGACTGGAGGAACATTTAACTTTCATTATATTGTTTACTGGCCAAATCTTTTTACCGTTGGATTAGAAACAGAGTGGTCTTTGGTTCATGTCTGCATAGATTCCACTTAGTTTCTGCTGACTCCAGCTTACGTTATTGTCCGAGTGTTCACTCTTTTACCCACTGAGGGCCTGGCTTGATGACCAAATAACAAGGTCCCCGTCCCATAATATTCTCTTCTGAGTATGTTCCAAAACACCAAGGGCACAGTGTTCTGTCATTCAGATGCTCCTGCTTTTGCTGCCACTCTCCATCCGGGAAATGTCACCTTGGATGGAAAACACAGCTTCACCAAGTTGGCATGCTGACCATTTTCAAAACCGTTTGGTGCTGATGCCATTTTTACCCTCCCAGACTGCTCAAATTCAATGCGAGTGTCAATTTGTTTAGCAGAGTCTCCTCCTGGCTTTCATTCCTCAGATGTTTTCCCCCTTTGGCTTTCTATTTTCTTATCTCTTGTCTGTCTTTCCACGTTTACTGTAATGTGCGCCTTCTATCTGTGGTATCTTTTCTCCCCACGTTCAATTTGTCTGTCATGTTTTAAATGACTGTTTTTGAGTAAATGAGAGCATTTCCCAGACAACCGCTGGTAGAATAAGCTGTACCTGGTACCTAACCTTTCATTCTACCTCAAACATAGCATATTGAACTTTAGTCTGGTGGGTTAAAATTTCTAGTGCCTTTTAGAAATGTCTGAAAAGCAGGGTCTGCTGATGAATGCTTACTGACCACCTTCGGGGAAGGGGTTGGAGTTGAGGCCAATGCTTGATTTATAGTGTTGACTGATTTCCATGGCATAAATTCCCTCATTGTGGATAATTCATGCCGCCAGCATGACCTCAACCAGTTCACAAGATGTGTACAAATGTAACAGTTGCCTGTGTTGAACCAATTCAATCCAGTCCCAGCAAGCCACTGCAAAAACTTCTACAGAAATACAAAAGGCAATGTTCTATGGAACAAGTTATATAACAAACAAATGTTTTAATTATTTAAATTCTGTTTTCTTTTGAAAATAAAATCAGGTCATATCTGAAAGAATAACATGTTTTTGGTAACTGAAAAAATTAATAGGAGCTATTTCTCAACCATAAAAATGCCAAAACGAGGTAAACTAACTTAGCTCTTGCTCTTTCACTCCTCCAAATCAAAAAAAAAAAAGATTATCATGAAAGATTGGAACCCAGTCTCTATGATTGCCACAGAATAGCCAATCCAGAGGCTAGAAATCATCCATGGGCTGGGACTGAGCTTAAGTTGAAGAGAATAAAAATGTCAGACACTCTCAAAGCTCTAAATGATTTACTAGCCATTGAAACATCCTTTGACATTCAGGAAAAGTTATGAGAATGCCTGCTCTCTGTGCTAAGAGATTAGAGAAATCCTAAGGGTTGCATTTGAGAGCAGCGGTTCTCATAGATCTAAGTATTACTTGTATTCAAAGCCAACTTAGAACTCTGTTTAGTTCTAGTGGGCTGATATCAAATAGAGAGTAAAGCAGGTTAGAAATGGGAAAATCCTATTGAGTAACAGATGCTT